ACGCGGTACATGGTCATTAAGACAGTTGGTTTCATGCCTAAGCTGCCGTAAAGAAGTTGATGCGTGGCCTGTTTTACGCTTTACGTGAACGTGAAAAATCCAGTGTGCATTGGCAATGACATCAAAAGACAATAAGTGTGAGTATTTACCTTTACAATGACAATTAGTGTGGCGAGCCATGCTGCAGAGACCGACAACTTGAGGCTTAAGCTTATTATCCCACAAGATTTGGATATAGTAGTGAGGATTCTCCTAAGGATTATATTTTTAAACGGTACATTTCTTACTCCAAGGAGCCCCGTGACTCGCACAGCAACTACTCGTGGCTAAAGATTCATGTGCGCTGATGATATGTGGCTAAGTGATTATCATCGTCGTTTGATGAACAGGCTAGGAGATCGAATCACCGAATTCACGAAGCTGGTCTCCATCTTACGTCCAAAAGAATGATACGTTTGTCCAATTCCGAAACCACAACCTCTGACCAGAACTTGAAATTCGCGTCGAAAATGTTCACATACTACTCGAGTTTGGTTAGTCTTTAGATAACCCCATACATCTTGCTCAACAATGGCTTGAAGTTATCTATTAAAAATGTTTTGACAAAGAACTTCTTTAAGTAGCACATAATTTCATTGGAAACTTCAGCAAACGCATTGGCCTAAGGACAAATCAGAAATCTGACAAAAACATGATGCGGTTCACAAGGTGGACGCTACGTCCAATTCTATATATACTGGAACAACATCAATAAAAGTCTGGTATGGCAAAAGAGCGGAACCGCAGCAAATGGACACCAACAGCTCGTTCATAAGTGGGGTAAACGACAATACCTACTGTGATGTTCTAGGAGGTAATTGGCAAGTTTAATAATGAATTCAACATGACTGGTTGCAGAATAAGACAAGATTCCATTCATCCTTCTGGATTGTAAGTGAAGTTGTTTAAAAAGTACATCTAGAAGCTAATTGAGTAAGACATTGAAAAAGTCTCCAGGCCAGTTGTGAAACACGTCCTGAGGCCGAATTATACCTAGATGTCGTTACAAAATAGGAAGTTATTTTCATAATCAGACAATCATAAAATATAATCTTGGCAGATGGCAGCATCGTGCATACGCTGCAGAAGCATGTGCAACTGGTATTGTTGTCAAGATGTTAACTATCAAATTTCTTGAGAAGCCTGATATTTTGCCGCCAATACACCTATTAGGAATTTTGCTAAGTTTTCTTAGCCAACCGTTTACCTTACTGACGGTGCCAACGACATACAAGTCACTCCACACACCTTTTTCCATCACTATAGAGATGTGCCAAATAGTTTGGAAAGACCTTGACCTATTTTTAGTACCTCTTTCCTAAGAGACAGAAGTACCTCAAAGATCTATTTGGCCTGTGTCAAAACACCTTATGTGGTAACTGAATCTTGTTACGTGTCTAGGGTCGTACAAAAGTAACAAAGAAAAGAGTGAAGGAAGCAAACTTTGCTTTGCAAACTTTAACAAACTATAGGTTTCCTTCGTAAATAAGGCAAAAATATGACAAAGGACTTACGGTGTGTGAATCTGATCAAATTAATTCTATAATTGATAATATAAGTCTTATATCAAAAAGTTCTAAATGAATCAAGGTTCGAACACCGATGAAGTTCCAAGATGGAAGGCGATGATATTTTCTATAACCTGTTTTGTGTTTTCATGTCAACAGTTCTTTGTTAAATCACTAAAATTAATATCCGGTTTTAGAGTTCCAAATAATTTCCAATAAATGTCTTTGTCCAAGAATTCTGATAAAGAGCACATATATGTATGTTTTCCAAAGAAATTAACTACTAATTTAAAAAAATAGGTAAAAATCAACTAACAAAAAAACAAATACCATTGAGCACCGAAGGTATTAATTATGATAGACTGAAATCGCTGTAAAATGTTAGTTTTAACTCGCATTTTTAGATCTCGTGATGGGGTCACGTGTTCACTTAGTTCTAGTGGATTAATAATATATAAGCGAGCTGTCGCGTCCGCCATAGACGAATTTTATCATACTGAACGAATATATAAAATTGAATAACAATTAAAAATGTTGTTTATATAGAACTGACACTCAAGCCAATTATGACCTTGTTTACGACCTATACCTTTCACTCAAGGAAAGAAATTAAAACAATTTGTTTACCAGTTCTGGATCAAGGTCAGGAACTAAGTTAGCTAAACATATAATATAGCAATACTAGTTATTTGCCAGGTCAAAACAAATCCTGGACATAAAACACAATTTAACCAAAAAATGTTGCTGATAGAACGTTAACACAAAAACACACGAACGACATCAAGTGAACTTCCTTTCACCAAACACCAGCTTGAAACGAATGCATCTGCCATAAAGGTTAGTGTGTCTGTATGTGGCTTACACTCATGCACCCTATAAGAAGGTGATTGCTGACATCCGATCAAACCGAAACTGTCAAATCCAGTAAATAAAGTTATTATTAGAATACCATTCAATGAGATAAAAAGAAATACAAATAATTTAAAACCAACACACAAACAAATAAATTATATGTACGTAACAATCCCTTAAGACAAAAGCTGTAATTAATCGTGATCGTACCTTTGACAGGGAGACTATCCTAAGAGACTTAATATAAATTGATGACCTTGGAAATTGTGATACATGGCCTGAGATTCATTGTACGCCAATAACAGAAATAATTTTGCTTACTTCAACCCTATCTATCATTTCAACCTGGACTACTTCTCCTTGGTTAAGCAATCGCTTTATTTTCATGCCTGCGTCGCAAAGGGTGCCATCATCCTCTCAGTCAAAATATTTCTGCTCTAGGAGAATGCGAGTCATCAACACCTGGACAGAAAACACCATTTAACCAAAAAATGTTGCTGATAGAACTTTAAAACAAAAACACACGAAAGACATCAAGTGACCTTCTCTTCACTAAACATCAGCTTGAAACGATTGCATCTGCCATAAAGGTTAGTGTGTCTGTATGTGGCTTAAACTCAAACACCCTATAAGAAGGTGATTAATGACATCCGACCAAACCGAACACCTCCAAGCCGCCCTCAAGGCAAACCATGGCAGCAACCTTATAATTTAGACTGCAGCCCTAAATGTCATAACGTTGACGCAGCTGGGTGTATTAATCTCAAATATTCCATTGGCAGGGACGGCAGCAGCATAACAATAGGGCGAAATCTTCACCAGCCATATCAGCCCTAGAAGAATTTGTCTATTGTTTGCATGTGCAATGAGTCAGTACACCATCCTGGGTGCATCTTGAGTGAAGCTGGTATCGTCAACTTCGACTCTTCGCAAATGTGATGGACATACTTTGTGGTGTTTAAAGTTATGCCCTCCCAGGTTTTCTGCATTGATCCGCACATCCTTCTGACACATTTGTGACTAGTCCTATTTATTTTGCTGAGCAACGAAAGGCGGCTCCGGACACATATGCTTACCATCTGTACGAATAAGACAGATGGCTGATTTAAGGCAATTCGTCCATCTCGGTCTTAAAGGTGCTTAGGCGCGATGAAATGCAAGGAAGCTTAAACTACAGAACTGGCAACAATATATACCAGATGAGATAGTCTGATCATAAAAACCCAGCATCCCTGTTAACATCTTTGTCCGCTCTTTATGAACACTGAGGGGCTGCTCTGTATGACCATTTGGGCTAGCACATAACCAAGATTTGTTTTCTTAGTTTAATCAATCGCTCAATCAACGAAAACCCTAATGATCTTGTGTTCTCCGATGCATCTGAGGGCCTTACCAACTCGGGCTTGTTGATCTCTTACCAAGCCATCTGGAAAAGTAGCGGGCTAGTTTGCAGTTTCCAACGTCAATGTTCAGAAAATCGATGAAGTTTATTGCAATCTATGAAGACTATATGGCACCTCAAAGGTCATATCCGATGAGAACTATTCTGGTGATGGGCAAACCCTTTGGGATCCATAATGACCGGAAACAGAGGTGGCACTGGAAATAAACTTTTAGAATTCTGAAAAACGACATCGTCACGGTTGCCTGCGTCAGTTGTTACTACATTAACATTCATTTCACTATATTAGTCCTTCTCCATGACGGTGAGGAACATCAAGTTTCAATTTAGCGAGTTTGTCAAACCCACGACATACGAATGATACAGACATGAGGATATTGCAAAAATAAAACAGGTAAACACAGGTAAAAATAAGTAATTTGATTTCATTAATAGCTTAGACGATGAAAAACGAAATCTGATGCATGCATTATTCTATGTGCAAAATCCCACGCAAATATTTAAGTCTTTTCTTTTCATATTAAGGATGGCTAGTTGCTTCAGTCAATTCGTTTTTTAGTATGAACGTTGATTCTAATATTGTTTACGAGACAAAACCTATCGCATACGGATGCGCAGTTACCATGCTTGTTATCCTCTGAGGGTAAATATCGCGTATGGTAGAATTTACTTCCGCAATTATTAGCAAGGTTTCCTCCGAGGATTTTTAATCTGGATTGAACTAAAATAAGTGATTGTTATCAGTAGAGGCTACAACTAGCAATATTGACCGTTAGTAAAGAAACAAATTCTGCCCAGAACGGAGTAGAATTACTAATCAGAAAATGGCGATCCTACTATCAACAGATAGAGCTTGTCAGATCATTTTACTGCGTCAGCTTCGTAAATTTTCAGTATAAGTGGTCAAGTTTGGTCAAATGCTTTTTGGTTAAGCCATTGTGTGTTTGTGTTTGTGTGCGTGTTTGTGTGCGTGAGAGAGAGACTTGGATTCCTAATGTAGCTTTAACAATTTTTATTCATATCGCTGCAGTGTGGCAGTTTGTCGTAATGCCTAGCAATGAGGCATCATGCCGTATGTATGTGTCATGATGTCCCACTAACTCTAATGATTCTGACGCAAGGCCGACCAGTCCTGACAAATGTTAATGCTGAGCTTCAAGCGAGGCAGCTGTTAGTACCATTTTTGCAAGTCCTTGATATGACTCGATTTGGGGGTCGAACCAACTGCCTCCCACATCCGAGTCGGACGCTCTAACCACTAGGCCACAAGAGCCCATATGAGGGTCACTGGCTTGTCCAGCACTTTAAAGACTCTACAGGATTTCAGACCCAGCCACTAGTACAATTCCTGTTTACAAGCTATCTAAGTTGATCTTAAACCTGCCTATGGTGCTTATGTTAATTCTTGGAACTGTATTCAGCATATATATATATATATATATATATATATATATATATATATATATATATATATATATATATATATATATATATATATATATATATATATATATATATATATATTAAGAGAAATACACATCTAATTCGTGTCCTACAATTTCGTATTGAAGTTAACTTTACATATTGTTGAAATTATTTCTAAGATAGAAAGTCTAATTAAATCTGTTCAATAGTTCTCAATTCATTACAGACCTGATCTGATTAGGACTAGTTGTGTTATGTTTCAAAATATGCATAAATGTTACTTTTGGAAGATGATGTTACAAGATTTGAGGTTAGAAAATTGAATTGGTGATTATTCTCTTTGATATTTCTTCGTGTCCGATACCGCGTGTTTTAAAATTATGTTCTGAAGTTATAAACCTATCATTTTGTACTCAACTGATTTGTGATATGTTCATATTAAAATTTAAAGTTCTTATGAAAAAACTCAAACTGCTTTGATATCTTTTATAAACCTATCCAATGTAAACAAACAGTAGATTTACTTGTAATATTTCCAAATATTTCACATTTAAAGTATGAAAGATGCATTTTAAAAGTTACACGGATATTGTAAAGTTAAGAAATCATATTAGATCACGCATTTGTAGCCTGGTCTATTTCATCAGTCAAGATAAGATATAAATTTTCTATGAACGTTGTCCTGACACATGGAGGTTTCTATGGAAGGCTTGAAAAATAGTTTAATACAATACTGTCGTATTGGGTGAAGTTTATTGCGTCGTTGCAATGTTTCCGTGTAAACAACGAAGAGTAAAAAAAGTATTTATGTATGCCTTGTTGTCTTTATATCTTGCATGCATTATTGGATATGTGTTACTGTCAAACTTTCCAAACAGTCGAAAATCCCTTGAGAAATGGATAATCAACCGTATGCCTTTACGTAATACTTCTGTTGATGGCCTAAACATTTTGGACAGTGATGGGTCTAATTCGATAGATATTTGTTCTGAACAATCACACAGAAAAGTTCCTGAGGTTCCTAATTCTACAATTAGAAGAGTTGTAACACCTTTAAAACGATTCAGATGTACAAATTGGGCAGTAGTTGCACCAGTTTCCAAGCCCACAGATTCAATTCGTTTGATAACATCTGATTGCAAGTGGTGCATTATTATTGTTGCAGACATAAGCTCCCAGTCAAAAGTCAATTATATATCAGACTTGGGTTATAGTGGCAAAAGACTGGTCTTTCTAGATCCTCAAGACCAAGAACATTTATATCCAGACTTATCGACAGCCATTCAATGGAACCATCATGGAAGAAAAAACATAGGATATATGTTTGCAATTCATAACGGGGCTGAATTGATCTGGGACTTTGACGACACTAATCAAACGCTTTTTGATATCGATATTATTCACAAACAAAAGACTGTGTGTATTTTAAAGAGATGTAAAGGTTCATACAAGGTCTTTAATCCCTACCCTTACTTTGGAGTAAGCGCATCCAACATTTGGCCGCGTGGTTTTCCGCTTAAATTTGTTCATGACACAGCTACATTGCCAGGTCTATGTGTTGGTAACATTTCATTGAAAGAAGTGGGTGTCATTCAGTCAATCTCAAACATAGAACCTGATGTGGACGCTATATACAAACTAACGAGACCACGCTCTTTGGTATTTGAAGCAACGAAACTTTTTCCTTTATTTTGGTTTCTCTATATTCATATTCTCCATTCAACGCGCGTGCAACGTTATGGACAAAGTCACCTTTTCTTGACATGGCACTACCAATAAGTATCCATAGTCGTGTTTCCCATATATGGAGGAGCTATATTGCTTAATTTTTTTTCATAAGACTAAAACGAAAGTTTTATTCTCCCCACCTTATGTCTTTCAGCGCAGTTCAGAAAACTTTGTCATGAATTTTGAATCAGAAATTGACATGTACCAAAAAGCAGAAAAGTTGGTAGATTTTCTGCATTCATTTTACCCACAATTAAATAGGACGCTAGAAACATTGCATGGAGAATTGTTTAAAAGAGGTTTTATTGAACTGAGAGATATCAATTTTATTAAGCTATGGATTAAAGCATACTTGGATGCATCTACAAGTAACTGAAATCTATTCTATAAGGTCTGGTACTAAGCACATACGGAACAAAACATATTAAAGAAACCTAATATATCTTATCTTTGGAAGATCGGTTTTCAAGAGGTAATTTACACGTATACTGCCTTTTGCGATACTGATTAAATTCTAAATTATTGCAGAGATTTCACACATTAAAATCTCGCTGTATTAGCACAATACAAACGGGCTTTGCCTAGGAGCTGTCCAATTTACGAAAGCAAGAATTATCTTTAAAGAACATTGAAATGAAATAACCGTGTTCTTTCTTGCTATCCTTATTAAGTGAATTAATTATTTTATGCATGGAATATGTGGGAATTCATTTTTAGGTCAATATTAAATATATTCGCATCCTCTCCATTTTTTTTATTCGATTTAAAATGCATGTTTAATGTGGATTGTTTACATATTTTGTCACCAGATATTTTTCGTCGTAACAGATCATCGAATAATTATTTAAAAGCAAATAAAATATGTCATCTTTTCCACGTACGTGTTATTGATTATGTTATACAATGAACTATTCACTAACTTTAAACTTACAAGATGTAGTTTCGTTATTTCTTGGTGTGGGTAATAATGCTTAATATATAATGTTTAATTTTAAAAACTAATCAATAATGGCATTAGTAGCTAAAAAAACGAATATATCTAACTTAGTCAACTGAAAATTGTGGCAAGTTACATTGACCAGTAACACACGTTATCATCAAATAAATTAAATTCTTTTTAATATTGTTGGTTGATATAATTATAAATAGGAGTTAACAAAGACTTATATGTCTTCACTGAATATATGTGTTCGTTCCTTTCTTCGCTGGAAATGAGAGGAGTTCTTTACATAATTTCATCCTTGTATGTTCATGAAAAAGTAATACACACATGTTAAATCTTTATCCTTTCTTCTCAGTCCTTAGGAGGAAGCAATACGTTGCTGCTATTGTCTCTCGTCATATTAAAAAAATATATTTGTTTCCACATTAATAAGAAGCCATAATAATATGTTTCAGCAACATTTTAGTTCTTTGCTTCTTTTGTAAAATAGTAATTGCAGACTGAATCATCCTATTGAGACCTTCGATTGCTTCACTTGTGACATAAACACAAGAAACGGTATTAGAGAGAGTTCAGTATCCAGTCAAAAGTCAATATTTTGTGGCAATATTTTCTCTAATAGTTTATATATTAGTAGTAGATTTTAGTTTCCGTTTTTTCTCTCTTTTTTAATTATATCTTTTCTTTCGATTGATGAGATTTTTTTTGGAATAATGCAATGTGCGTGTGTGTGTGTGTCTGTGTGTATTGGGACTTGTTTAGAGTGTTGTGGCTGTTAATCTGTTTTTATTGTCTTTTTTTACTCTTTCTGTAAATAATATTTTGTCATGTATGATATCAACGCATTTCTAAACTTATTCCTATCTCAACATTGGTAGATCTGTTCTTAAATGATGTTGAATTGATGTATGGTCCTGGCTGTAAAAACAAAATCAAGAAATGATCATTTTCGTGAGACATGAAGAAGAATAAAAGTTTTGTAACCATGTTTATAAATAAATGATTGGCATGTGTCATCATCTCTCTCACGAGTCAATATACGCAAAGTGTACTCGCCATGATGTTACTCATAAGAACATGGAAGCCTAATTTTATTTAATCTGTGTGCAATTCATCTTGATCTCAAAAGAATTCTCCATCATGTGAGTGATACCTAAAACTACGGAACACAACATACAATTAAATATCGATGCAATATTTAGTTTGCACTGAAGTGAACATGAGTATGCTATAGTTTCAAAAATCTTCGTAACAACCTGTAATATATAATATATTTATTTAACAACAAAGCAGACCTACTATGTCTTCTGAGTTAAAGGTAGTATCGGTATATAAATAATAAAGAAATCATTGATTCAAACATTTAATTAATTTATGATAAATGATAATTAGGTTTTAGTGGCACAATTTTAAACATGTATGTCATGCGTAATAAAACCTAAACAACAACTCCCATCAACTCAATCTATACCTGTCCTTCCTTATCTTCTTCCTCTCCCCTCTCTCATATGTATACATGGAGCAATATATAGAAATATAGTTTTTAAAGTTCATCTGTGTATTGTATTACCGCATGTAAATTGCGAACATACAAAAATACTACATATAACTTTAGCACAATCAAAATTACTGGCAACAAGGCAGTCTCCTAATGTAATATATGTTTTACGTATTCTTTGCACTGTTGGAAAATGACTAAAATATATAAAGAAACATCAGAATTATATGCCCCTGGTGACATGTTGACTTGTCTATACATGTAGAAGGATATATTTACAATTTTGTTTTACAAATCATTTCTGTCTCATCTCTAACTAATATGTTAATTAAAGCATATTTAAAACAACTAAATTACGGAAGGTGATATGTTATCACAAGTGAACAGTAAAGACACGAGTAGGAAACAGACGATAGGTGTCTTGTGTACCTATTTTAAAATCATCTTGGGAATAATATAATAATAATATTATCCTGCTATATATGCAGTCGTCCGTGATGCGAGATGACTTACAAGTTTATTAATCCTTATAACAAATGGCACAACTCGTGTTTACCTCTAATTTTATAATGTCATTTCGCAGCGCTTACAAAATCTGCAAATAATAATGATTTAATTTAAACAATATTTGCGGGAGGGGCTATACGTGCCATAGACGAATGCAGCTTGCATGAACTACT